TATAAAAAAGTATATAAGTATATAATTATATAAGTATAAGTATATATATATATATATATATATATACACACACAATTTTTTTAAATTATATAAACCTTATTTTTTATGATATTTAAAATATTTAATTTGACATAATAGTAATATATTACACTAATTAACACCAGTGACAGTTCTTGTATTCTGAATAAGCATAAAGAAAAATATACATTTATAGTACATTAGTAAATTTATAATGTTAAAATGTATTAGCGTATGTAGAAATTAACATTAACCAAGACCAAAATATGCTTAAAAAGTATCATTCATTAATTCAGTATACCTAATATATTACCTGTTAACAAACCTTTTTGTAACGTTCCCATAATTTCCCTATAACAAATTTATACATATATCCATTCATATGTATATGCAAATGTTTGTGTATTAGGGTTGTTATGATTCAAAATTCTCATAGTTTGGTTTGAAATGCCAAAAGCCTATAGGAAATCAAAGACAGGTCCTAATCATGAAAAAAAAAATGGATCCATGGTGTTTTGCTTCTCACCTATGCACACAATGTCCATGAAGCCGTACATGCCGTAGCAGATCTGGAAGAGCAGGTCCTGGCGCTGCCACTTGGCAGACGGGCTGAGAGAAGACCACACCAGCCACGAGATACTGGCGATGAGGAAGAGTGAGCCCAGGATAATGGCGGCGATCTGCACCTTCTCAATCACCGTCAGAGAAATCGCCTGCCACTGATACACACAGCATTAAAAAGATGAGATGGCATCTTCTTGCTTTGCTTGTAGAAGCCTATAAATAGAGACACTAGCCAGTGCTTCGTCCTGACCCAGATACTTCACAGTTTGAGGCTGACGCTTTACCTGCAGCGGGTTCTTGGTGCTGATGGCCAGGACTTGGTACTTGAAGTAGCAGAGCTCACAGCTCCAGGAGCCTCTCTCGCTGATCCAGCGAATCAGACAGGGCTGGTGGGTGCAGCGCACGGAGCCGTCGCAGCGGCATGGGCTCAACAGCTCCCCCTGCAGACAGGGGAGAATTAAATCTGATGACCGACAGATCCAAGAATCAAAAATCAATGCTATTTACTGTCTTAATAAAAGTCCCAGGACAGGAAAAAGTCCCAGAAAATGGTTCATTTTCATTGACTTTCATCAAACATGATAACTTCCTCTGCCTCTGAAATGCCTCTTTTCTGCTCATGTCACCAAGGCTGTGGGGCAGGAAGAAATCATATTAACCAATAACACAGTCTAATAATTACAGTTAAATCCTGATCAATACAATCAAGTTTCACCCTAAATTGTTTCCAGCTTAATATTTGCTTTAACTTGGAAATGAGGAAGTGAAATTCGTGGGAGATGTTATTTGATGTTCTATTTAACCAGCGTTGCTATTGTTAACTAAATCTAAACATATGAAAAATGATTGGTAATTGAAATAAAACTGAAATAAGATAAAACATAAATATTAGTTGAAAAAAGTAAACTTTAATACTTAAATGAAAATGCGAAATAAATATGTTTTTGACAGACGTGATAACATCTGTCAAAATATATATATTTAAAATTATATATATATATATATATATATAATTTTTTATATATATGTTTTTTATTTATTTATTTATTTTTATTCCTGTAATGGCAAAGCTGAATTTTCGATGTGATTGATGCAATTTCTGTCCCCATCTAGTGGAACTAATCATGAATAACAGCATAAAACACTGGATCTCATATTACTGTAAAACTGATGAACACGCTTTTGAATGCTTCTCTGATTGGTGTCTTTCAACATTTATGAAGATGGAGGAATTGATAAATGGTATCCGATGGGCATTTATTGACATGCTTGAGAAGGAGAATGACTAGATGGATAAAGAAACAAAGAGAAAATCAACAGAAAAGGTGTTTTCCAGTGTATTTGTGACAGTTATGAATACATAGCATCAATGAAACTGTTCTTTTTCACATCATTACTGTCTATATCTCACATTAGGCTCATGCAGTCTTGGCGAAAGTGGGTTACCCAGACTTCATCTTAAATGACACCTATATTAACGAGGACATCAAACGAGTATGTTTGCAAGCTTTTTGGATTTAGTTGATCTTGCTGATGGCTAATTGTTTTAATTGTGTTTGGCAGATATCAGTGCAACTCAAAGTCATTAAGGTTTCTATGTTTATGCACAGTTGTCGTTCAGTGAGACGGACTACTTTGGGAATGTCATGCAGACCCTGAAGTTCATAGCTCAGTCTGACATCGGCTGGCTGAGGAAAACAGTCCCACGCACAGAGTAAATTGTCAGCATTTTCAAAGCCTGTTAAAATGAGATGAATCTGGCTTTGAACATGATGAAACATCACTTTTTTCCCCTCAGGTGGTTCACCAACCCAACAACAGTAAATGCATTTTACAGCTCCTCTACCAACCAGATCAGTGAGTTATGAATTTCAGTTCATTGATAAATAAAGAGCTCTGTTAAATACTTGGTTTTGATTGGTCAATTACAGTGTTCTGTGTTCGTAATATTCTCCTATTTTCTGTAAAACAGAAAAATATTAAGACTTGAAATAATTTTTTTTAAAGAAATTAATACTTTTATTTTGCAAAGATGCATTAAATTGAAATAAATAAATGCTGTTCTTTTGAACTGTCTAATTATTAAAGAATATATTAAGAAACACAACTGTTTTCAGCATTGATAATAATAAAAAAATGTTACATCAGCACCGATCAGCATATTAGAATGATTTCTGAAAATTCAGCTTTGCCATCACAGGAATGAATTACATTTTAAAATATATATGAAAATATTAAACAGTTATCTATAATTGTAAAAATATATCACAATATCACTGTTTTACTCTATTTTTGACATAAATGTAGCCTTGATGATCATAAAATATTGAATACGTTTTTGTGTGTGTATATTACGCTTCCCTTGTACACTTTTACACTATTTGGTGTACATATCAACCTCAGTAACAATGTTTTGCCTTTAAAAGTGTATTACTAATAATGATAAATGATATCCAGTATAATATGAGTTATAAAACACCTTTCTGGTTTGGTATTTATCAGGTGTAATAGCTGTGTGTTCACTGTTTTAGATGTTTGATGTGTGTTTAGATATACTGCATCACATTCTTTTATTTGGTGGCTAATTGAACTGTCTTCTTCTACCCAGGATTCCCTGCGGGAGAACTTCAGAAGCCATTTTTCTGGGGACTTGACTACCCTAGGTGAGACATAGACACTTCTTCTTGTTGATGTTTTTTAATTTATGTTTTCATGGTATGCTCAATCCTATATATTGAGATGTGGATTTCTAGGAAAAATAACTTGTTAAATGTGTTCTTGTGTCAGATCCTTGAGCTATGGAGCGATTGGTGTAATTGTGGTGCATGAACTGACCCATGGCTTTGATGACAATGGTGAGGCCATTTGATTTATGAAGGTGAGTCTCAACACGTGTTGCCATGGAGACGACTGATTCTTAAGGACATCTGTGTTTATCTGTGTTCATCTAGGCAGGAAATACGACAAAGATGGGAACCTGGACCAGTGGTGGAGCAACTCCTCAATCACCCGCTTCACTGAAAAGACACAATGCATGATTGACCAGTACAACAGTTACTACTGGAGAGAGGCGGGGCTAAATGTACAGTAGGCGCCAGTCTTTGTCATCAAACGTGTCATCAAAATGTAGCAAAGCTACCAATCTAATACTTAATACCCACAATCCCCTCTCAAGGGCAAGGGGAAGAGGACTCTGGCAGAGAACATTGCGGACAATGGAGGGATGAGAGAATCTTTCAGGGTATTACAGCATTTTCCACTATAATTATCCCAAAGTGACCTGAATCTGATTTACCGTTAACTTGTCTCATTCCAAACTTGTAGGACTTTCTTTGATGGATCACAAAAAGGGAAATTTGGAGAATATATTACAATTTGTTGTTGATTTGTGTACACATCAATCAGACTGCTAATCAGATCAACTGATTCATAGAAAACATGTGACTCAAAATAATGATTCGTTCATAAATTAGACATTGCTACTTTTCTCAGGAGAGTCAAGATTCTCAGTGAAAAAATTCCTAAATATCTTATTAATTTCATCATATTTTAATGGTTCTTTTCATGTTTTTTTTTTTTACTTAAAAGCACCATTTTAATTGCACAGAAAAAAAATGACCAGAACCTAAAATACTCCAGTTTGTGTGTTCCATGGATGAAAGAAAATTTGGAATGAAATGAAGGTTTTTTTACGATTCCTTTAATAATGTGTCTGTTTTTGGTGTATATGTGAACTTGTCTGCAGGCCTATAGGAGATGGATTGAAAAAGAGAGATCAGGAGTCGAGGAGCATCTCCTACCTGGTGTGGGTCTGACCAACAACCAGCTGTTTTTCCTCAGTTATGCTCATGTCAGTATTATGCATTTCACACATAAATACTTAGGCTTAAATGTCAGATGTGTCAAACATTATATTTAATTCTTAAAAAATTAGAATTGGTTAAAAAAGAAGTGATAATATGTCTGCTTTTTCTGTCATTTTTAGGGGTTGTATATGTGTATCCTGAATAGTATACAAGATTAGAATTCAGAGGTGTAAAGTATTGGAGTAAATGTAATTAGTTACTGTACTTGAGTATCTTTTCGGGTACTTTGTAGTTGTACTGAGTATCAAAGATATTAGCAACTTTTACTCTTTACTTCACTACATTTTTAAATGAGTATCTGTACTCTTTACTCAACTACTACTTTTACTCAATTATGGTTTTTAGGTACTCTTTACACCTCTGTTAGAATTTGCATTTTATGACATGGTAGCATGGTAGATTTAGTACTCACTCAAATGTATGCACTTTCTCATTACTATCAAGTTTCAAATTTAATTTATTTCTAAAGCACATTTAAGAACAACAGTAGTTGACCAAAGTGCTGTACATAAGGGTCATAAAACAAACAACAATAATAAGGTACTGTACATAAAAATGTGAAACAGCAAAGACAAAGAGAGAAAAAAAACACAGCTCTCAAACTGAATTAAATGCCAAAGAATAAAAATGTGTTTTAAGACTAGTTTTAAAAGCAGACAAAGTTGGGGCCATCCTCACAGTCAATGGTAATACATTCCAGAGTTTAGGGGCAGCTACTGCAAAGGCACGATCTCCCCTGTGCTTCAGTCTTAATCTAGGGACGGCCAGCAGCATAAGGTCAGCAGACCTCAAAGACCTGGATGGAACGTGCAGTTGTATAAGATCAGAAAGATAGGTTGGGGCTAGACCATTTAAGGATTAAGCAAGCACTAGAACCTTAAAATCTATTCTAAAACAGACCAATGTCCATTTTAGAAGCCAATGTAGGGAAGCCAATATGGGGGAAATATGTTCCCATTTACGCGTTCAAGTTCAAAGTCGAGCTGCAGCATTCTGCACTAACTGCAAGCATGAGAGAGAGGCCTGGTTGAGACCAACATAGAGGGCATTACAATAATCTAAACGAGATGAAATAAAACCATGTTTAGGCTAAGCCTTTCAAAATGATTAAAAGACAAAAAAGTCTTAACTGATAAAAACTTGACTTTACTACATTGTTTATCTGTTTGTCAAGTTTAAAATCCATATCCATTATTACACCCAGATTTTTAACAGTGGATTTAACATGGGGAAGCAAAGGGCCCAGATCAATGTTAGAGGCCTTATTAGTAAAATTTGGACCAAATATAATAATTTCAGTCTTGCTCTCATTAAAATGTAAAAAATTTAGGGCCAACCAATCTTGTCTCTGAGGCAGTCAAACAGAAGTTTTAGAGGACTGGCATGTTTCCTTTAAAATGGCAGATAAATTTGTGTGTCATCTGCATAACAGTGAAATTAATTTGAATGAAATTGGGCCAAGAATAGAGCCTTGAAGGACTCCAAATGGAAGGGGTGCTGATGAGGAAACAAAGTCACCAAGGCGGACAGAAAAAGTCCTGTCTGTTAGATAGGACCTGAACCACTCCAGAGCAGTACCCTTAATACAGACAACATGTTCCAACCGGGAAAGTAGGATATTATGATCAATGGTATCAAATGCAGAAGTCTGAACTAAAAGCATAAGAATGGCTGAATCTCCTGAGTCGGTGACCAATAAAAGGTCACTATAAACCTTTTAAAGTACCGTTTCTGTGCTATGAAGAGCTTTAAAACCCAACTGATAAACTTCTAAAACTCTGTGTGTGTCTACGAAAGATTGCAGCTAGATACAGACAACTTTCAAAGTGAATACTTAAAGTAAATATTATTTGCAAATGTAATTTAAGACAAGACACTCCAGGTAAATAGGGTAAAAAGTTTAACTAATAGATGTCACCACACTTCCCCAGTTGATTTATTACATTAAGAATTGCAAACATTTCTGTATTACAAGATTTATGAAATGTTGTTCAGATATGCAAATGATGGATTATCCAATTAAATATGCACTCATTTGCATACATTTCCAAAATAGAGATCTGTGCATTGGATAAATCCAGGTTCAACATTCGTTTCATTTTTTTTTTTTGAGGTGATTTTGGATATGCCATTTTTTATCACTCCATAAATCAGAAAATAGTGTCAACAGCCAGAAAAAAAATTAGTTTTCATTATGTTTTTAGGAATGCAATTTTGAATAAAATCAGGCAAAGGATATATGAACAAAATGACCTTTGTAAAAACCTTCAGAATATAGAATATCGAACAAAAGTGGAGGTTTGGTGTAAGTGCTATTGATCTGAAGTTTTGAGAAAATGGCCTTTAAAGATATAATGTAACTGAAATCTATAGAAGCAAATAGAGCACAATACGTGCAATAAAATAAACACTTAAAGGTGCCATAGAATGGAAAACTGTATTTACCTTGGCATAGTTGAATAATAACAGGTCTGTACATGCCTCAAACACCATTGTTTCCTCCTTATGTAAATCTCGTGCATCAAAAAAACACTGAAAAATAGGCGAATCAGAACATAACACCGACTGTGACGTTACAGTGGGCATCACTAATAATTACGCCCCCAACATTTGCATATACCCGCCCATGTTCTATGCCAGCCGCCAGCCGAACCTGCACAGCAGAATCATCAGACGTTCTGCAGGTATTGTGAAGAAACAAGCGAGGATAATAGCGAAAATGTCAGATCATGGAAATAAATGTTATGTTCCAGGCTGTGCAGGGGATGTGATGTGCAGGGATGGGTTGGTGTCTGTATTCAGAAAGGC